CCCTAAGCGACTGCCTGTAACCACGTAACTAGACTGTATATTTGCGTGTATATATAATAGAAGTCCAATTTCTTACTGTAAATTCAATTGTTTAGAGCAACTAACGCCCTTCATTCACGTCGGTTATTCGAGTTGGTTCGGGGCCTCCTCGCGTCTCTTTCTCTCTTTAGGAATGACGGTAGAATCTGAAACAAGTTGTGAGTTCGCGTCTCCTAAGTTCTATGCGCTTTGCGGTCTCGGTGGTATCGTCAGCTGTGGCACCACTCACACTGCCATCGTGCCTTTGGACCTTGTTAAGTGCCGCTTGCAGGTCGATAAGGCTAAGTATGGTTCCCTGACACGGGGATTTCGAGTAACCTTGAGAGAGGAGGGACTTCGTGGACTTGGCCGCGGTTGGGCTCCCACGTTTTTTGGCTATTCTCTTCAAGGTCTCGGCAAATTCGGCTTCTACGAGGTCTTCAAACATACCTATTCGGGTATGCTTTCTGAGGTAAACTTCCATAATTTTGTTCAAGCCTGCAGGAAAATGCTTTCCTTTGGAGAACTTCTGTCTACTTGGCGGCTAGTGCTAGCGCCGAATTTTTCGCTGATATAATGCTCTGCCCCATGGAAGCTCTCAAGGTGCGTATTCAAACCATGCCTGGGTTTGCGAACACATTGCGTGAAGGTCTTCCTAAAATGCTGGCCGCTGAGGGCTTTACTGGATTCTACAAGGGCATTGTGCCACTTTGGTGTCGTCAGATTCCATATACAATGATGAAGTTTGCTTGTTTTGAGCGAACTGTCGAAGCTTTATATAATTACGTTGTTCCTAAGCCGCGTTCTCAGTGCTCCAAACCCGAGCAGTTAGTTGTTACCTTTGCTGCTGGTTACATAGGTGAGCTTATCATTTAGTGATATGCCTTTAGCCGGTGTTTTCTGTGCGATTGTATCTCATCCACCGGATACCATCGTATCTAAATTAAACAAAGATCCTAACGCAAGGCTCCTTGAGGTTGCAAAGAATTTAGGATGGCGTGGTAATTGATCTTCACCTTACTCATTCCTGGCTGTCTTTTCCTTGCCTAAAATTGTGTCGGTTCTCTATTTCAGGCATGTGGACTGGTTTAGGTCCTCGTATCATAATGATTGGTACGCTGACTGCTTTGCAGTGGTTCATCTACGACGGCTTTAAAGTTGTCATGCGCCTACCTCGTCCCCCACCACCTGTGATGCCTGAGTCACTAAAAGCGAAATTGGCAGCACAGCAGCATTAGTCTGGCATCCTAATGCCATTTTTAGCTTTCATTCGTCTGTCACTGCCAATTTGGGATGTACAAACTAGTCAGCTTTTCATGGATTTTGTTGTAGTCTTATCGGCCCCCTAGATCCTGTGCGTGAAAACTTCAGTTCCTTATCCTGCAGTGTGTTTTTGAACTGGGACATTACTAGCATTGTCGTGATGTCAAGTTTGATTGATAGGATCATCGTAGCACTTGAAAAGGAAGTGGTATTTTCTTTGCCCAACTGGAGTCGCACTGCTTTTCTGACACTTGACTGTGCGGGTCTGAAGGGTGGGTCTGTCGTATAAACTCTTCTATGTGGTCGCGATAAGATGTGCGACTGCAGTAGCGGATAGGTTTCTTAAAGTCTGTAAGGAGTGGTGGTTGGCGCTTATCGTGCTTATGTGATTAGAGTTGGGGCTTCACCTTTTCTCACCGCTGGTGCTTTCGTGCTAGCAGCGTTGTGTATGTTAATGGTGCGATCAGT